TACTCAAATGTATTTGTGTGTGTGTGTACTCACCTAATTGTACTCACCAAATTGTACTAGCGGGGGTTGAGCTCTGGCTCTTTGGTCCCGCCTCTCAACCATCAATCAACAGGTGTACAAGTTCCTGAGCCTATTGGGCTCTATCATATCTACATTCAAACAATTCAACTAAGTGTGTGTGCCTCTGTGTGTGTGTGTGTGTGTGTGTGTGTGTGTGTGTGTGTGTGTGTGTGTGTGTGTGTGTGTGTGTGTGTGTGTGTGTGTGTGTGTGTGTGTGTCTGTGTCTGTGTCTGTGTCTGTGTCTGTGTCTGTGTGTGTCTGTGTCTGTCTGTGTCTGTGTGTGTCTGTGTGTCTGTCTGTGTCTGTCTGTGTCTGTGTGTGTCTGTGTGTGTGTCTGTGTCTGTCTGTGTCTGTTATCCTCTCGTTAAAATCATTGCAATGCAAATTTGTTTATCGGCAAAAGAAAAGTTCTCCCTGATCTTGAACAAAAATAAGCCAAGAAATGTACGATGTGAATCTTGCTTCACCATTAAACGTGGCTTACAACGCTCTACCTGCTTGCCAACCTGGACCCGGCCCTTCCATGACCCTAGTTGGGCAAGGCGGGAGGGAGGAGGTGGGGGGGAGAGGTGGCTGTGGTAGATTGGGTGATGGGTAAAGGGTGGCAATGGGAAAGGAATAGAGGGAGGGGAGTAATGGGAAAGGAATAGAGGGAGGGGAGTAGGAGAGGAGAGAGAGGTAAGGGGGAGCATCAACATTGCACCAACGCTTCCCCAAAGCCAACTGGATTGATGTTATGGTGGCTACGTACCCCTAATGTCTTCTACAATCCAGAGTACTCGCTGTGCCTTTTCTCTGACCCCTTCACACACCTTTTTTTTCAAATAGATGAATATAGATTTTATCTATTTTTGTGTGTTCTGTGTCTCTTCCTTTCCTTTCTCTTATATACATCTTTCAAGAGGTTGAAACACCGTAGGTGCCATGCAGGATATCAACAAAGAGAAAACAGGTGCTCTCAGAGATAGTGTTACAAGCACACGCTCTAAGTGACAAGAAAAACCCGGCCTGAGCTCTCCCGTAACGACGGTATTCCAGTAGTTATGGTCACTAGAACATAGCTTCGGTCGTTAATGTATCAGTGATTTATAAACCAGCTAGTTATATACCAAGCCAATTACCTCCGTACCAATGCTCAACCCTGCACTTGGCAGACATTGCACACAGCACTCCTATCCGAACACACACGATTCACCAGCACATGTCTCGCTGGCGACACACATGATGCCCTTAGACTTAACAATGTGGAGGGAATAATCAGACTTAACACAAATTTTTAGAATCATTAAAAATTCACATTACCCCAAAAAACATAGTTTCCATTTTTGTTAAGGTCTTGCTGGTGGCCATTTTTAGATTTTCCAAATGTCCGTAATAACTAAGGATGTACCTCAATATACCTGGTTATAAATGCTCGTCTACCAATGAAAACTGTTGTGAATACCACGAGGCTTAGTTGTGAATACCACGAGGCTTAGTTGTGAATACCACGAGGCTTAATTGTGAATACCACAAGGCTTAGTTGTGAATACCACGAGGCTTAGTTGTGAATACCACAAGGCTTAGTTGTGAATACCACGAGGCTTAGTTGTGAATACCACGAGGCTTAATTGTGAATACCACAAGGCTTAGTTGTGAATACCACGAGGCTTAGTTGTGAATACCACGAGGCTTAGTTGTGAATACCACGAGGCTTAGTTGTGAATACCACAAGGCTTAGTTGTGAATACCACAAGGCAGTGTACATGGAATTCCTTCCTGATTTACTTAACAGTTTCGGCTTGTCGACCTTTCGACTGATTAAACTTTCATTTTATGTTTTCCTTCTAATATGGCCAGGAGGCAACTTGGCTTGCTTCATGGCTCTGGGGGCTGCGTTAGTTCAATTGTATTTTTGTATTGTGATGCTCACGTGTTATTTCCATGCATTGTTGCATTTGTTTCCTGTTTCTTCTCCTCTCTTATCTCTGTAATTTGTTCCATATCCTCCAGTTTATTTTATTTTGAGCCGCTTGATAGTGGCATTTTAGCAATGACACTGTCAACCGGTTATTTGCCGTCATGCTGTATCATTTAGTGATGGTATGGAGAGCTTGACAGGATCTGTACATCTTCATTTGACGTGATTCATCACTTCTTGAGCTGTCATCCTGCTTAGATCTCTCTCACACACACACACACACTTTTATTATTGTCATATAATTCACTTTTCTCTAGATAGGTCTCATTTTCTTGTGCAAGAAAATTTACCTATTTAACAAATTTTCAGGGTCGAGCCACAGTTTCTGGGCTCCCCCTTTTCCAACTGTTGGTCGACTAATGTAATGACTCCATACCTCGTTAGTTCTCGTCGAATATGACTGCGTGTGTGTGTGTGTTGTCTGCACTGGGAAGGTCCTGTATAAGTTAACAGGCAAGGGGGTCAACCCTACTCGGGATTACCCATACATACTCACCAACCGGACCGCGTACGGAGGTAGTGTAACATCCTAAGGCAAGCTTCACACTCCTACCTTGATATTCTGAGGTGTAGGGAGGGTGGGAGTGTGTCAGGAAGTGCCGTTGTTAGCACCTTTGGATTATTATTATTATTTTGGGGAGGGAATTCAGCTTCGAGCAGGCAATAGTGGAGACGACATTGGTCTCCTTTAAGGCGTTCTGCTTTGTGTCTGGAGAAAGGAGACCAATGTCGTCTATGCCTTCAAATGCCCAATTGGGGACTGTAAGCCTCAAAGAACTCAGTATATAGGCAAGACAACAACATGTCTTTCCAGGCGATTAACGATGCATAAGCAACAGGGCTCCATTAAGGAACATATAATCTCTTCCCACAACCAGACCATCAGCAGAGAAGTCTTAACAAACAACACAGAAATCATCGATAGATACAGCGATAGCAGGCGGCTTGACATCTGCGAGGCACTACACATCAAAAAGTCAACACCAGCAATCAACAGCCAATTAATGCACAACTATATTCTACCCACTTCAAGACTCCGTACCAATATAGAAGCATCAAGAGGAAGTATGGGCCAATAGGCCCTTTGCAGTTACTTCCATTCTTCCCTCTCATTTATCCAATTTATACCCATTGCACCGTGTTCTGTCTTGTGTTGGTCAAAAGTTTGTTCACCTCATCCGAAACTGTTGCAACATATCACCTCACTCAAATGCGAGTATATAAGACAAGCTGTTCAATGTTAGCATTAAGTAAAACTCTGTTTAGTGTTTTCAGGTTACAGTTGTGTGTGTGTAAACTAAAGTCTTTGAAAATGTAATAAGTTATTACGAAACGCGTTCAAGCGTCGCGTCAGATTAGAAATAAAAATGAATTTTGGAGAATTGATTTTTCAATTACCATCGACAGTAAAAAGAAACATAAGAAATATTGAGAAAATTCGTGTTAGAATTATTAATCTTACTTTTTCGATCATATTTAACAACATATGTTTACAAGAAAGACTGCTACCAAAATATACTAATACATATATATATATATATATATATATATATATATATATATATATATATATATATATATATATATATTTCATTGAATATGACCGCATACTCTGTATTTATTATTTTCTGGTTTAGGGCTTCTATCCCTCTAACTATTTTCTTAGCATCAGGGCTTAATTGAAATAGGAGTTCTCCAAAACTCATTTTCGTACTTTTAAGGTGAAGAAAGAAGTGATTTACTATAGAGTGTATTACACTTATTTGTATAATTTGCACGACGTTTCGAACCTCCATGGTTCATTCTCAAGTGAACAGATCTTACAATACTAGTTGATTTTATACCCGCATTAGGTCAGGTGATAATACAATGAAGGTGAAAACATGGGGGGATACATAAGGGATAAACATAGGGGCTGCAGAAGGCTTATTGGCCCATACGAGGCATCTCCTATCTAAACACAAAGATTAATCCAGTGTAATTGGCTTTAGATAGGAGATGCCTCGTATGGGCCAATAAGCCTTCTGCAGCCCCTATGTTTATCCCTTATGTATCCCCCCATGTTTTCACCTTCATTGTATTATCACCTGACCTAATGCGGGTACGTCAATAGTATTGTAAGATCTGTTCACTTGAGAATGAACCATGGAGGTTCGAAACGTCGTGCAAATTATACAAATAAGTGTAATACACTCTATAGTAAATCACTTCTTTCTTCACCTTAAAAGTACGAAATGAGTTTTGGAGAACTCCTATTTCAATTAAGCCCTGATGCTAAGAAAATAGTTAGAGGGATAGAAGCCCTAAACCAGAAAATAATAAATACAGAATATGCGGTCATATTCAATGAAACATGTTTGAAAGAAAACCTGCTGCCAGTATACACCAATATATATATATATATATATATATATATATATATATATATATATATATATATATATATATATATATATATATATATATATATATATATATGTACTGTGCCTGTCCCCTCGACATAAAGAATCATGAATATTGTGAGCGGTAGTGATGTTGTATGGGCATCCTGTGGGTACGCGTGGGCAATCTTGACATGATGCGGGCACGTCAATATTGACAGCCATTCCTTGCAGGAGTTGTGGTGTCTCTGGCGGTGCGGGCGGCAGAGGGGCGGGTGTGAGGGCTATAGGGGGGGTGACAATGCTTTATGTAGCGCACTACACCGTGTCTGACTGTATAATACAGGCTCCACCTGGGTACACGCCTGTCGCCTGCCCTCCACCTCCGCCTCCGACACCCATCCCCACTGTATCTTGCAACGACCTGGCCGCCTCTGCACCCACCTCTCGCTACCTCGCCTCTGGTTGAGAGTATAGCTCTCCTACCTCTAGACTCTTGAGTCTGGAGATGTAGGTCTAGATTACCAGCTCTTAATGTGGCCTCTATAGCAACAGCTCTCACTCCAGCTACTCAACCACCAGCCCTTAAGAGAACACAGATGCCCCCAGGAGGCCATAGGTGCCCCCAGGAGGCCACAGGTACCCCCAAGAAGCCACAGATGCCCCCCAGGAGGCCACAGGTGCCCCCAAGAAGCCACAGATGCCCCCAAGAAGCCACAGATGCCCGCCCCCAGGAGGCCACAGGTGCCCCCAAGAAGCCACAGATGCCCCCAAGAAGCCACAGATGGCCCCCAGGAGGCCACAGATGCCCCCCAGGAGGCCACAGGTGCCCCCAAGAAGCCCCAGATGCCCCCAAGAAGCCACAGATGGCCCCCAGGAGGCCGCAGATGCCCCCAAGAAGCCACAGATGGCCCTCAGGAGGCCACAGATGCCCCCAAGAAGCCACAGATGCCCCCAAGAAGCCACAGATGGCCCCCAGGAGGCCGCAGATGCCCCCCAGGAGGCCACAGGTGCCCCCAAGAAGCCCCAGATGCCCCCAAGAAGCCACAGATGGCCCCCAGGAGGCCACAGATGCCCCCAAGAAGCCACAGATGGCCCCCAGGAGGCCACAGATGCCCCCAAGAAGCCACAGATGGCCCCCAGGAGGCCACAGATGCCCCCAAGAAGCCACAGATGGCCCCCAGGAGGCCACAGATGCCCCCAAGAAGCCACAGATGGCCCCCAGGAGGCCACAGATGCCCCCTAATACAAGCTTAGTTCCAACGTTCGCCAGCCTCTCGCTGGGCGACCTATATGACAATCTTTGGACATATGTGAAGCTGACGAGCATCAGAAGAGCCACTAAGGACTCTTCAGAAGAAGGTATTTAGAGCACTACGCTATCTCCATCAGTCGTTGAGCACGCAATCCCGGCTTGGAGTCCCCTTACCGCGGAGCACAGAAGGAAACTTGAGAACATTCTTGAGAAGTTTGCAAGGAGGACGACCCCAAAACAACTTCGAAAATGGGTTCAGGAAAAAAAGTTGAGTTTGGTTCATTTAATGTACACCTCGTACCCATCCCGTGGGCGGAGGTGGGAAAGGTCACAGAGGCACACATTGGGATCAAGAACTGAAATCCAAAAAAATTGTTTAACCAAGCAAATTACAGCACAGATGAGGAAGCCATGCTTGATGACGGAAGAGCCTGGTAAATCAGTCAGCTTTGCATCACGCGGGCGAAGGTTCGAGCCCCAGCAAAGGCATTTGGAATTTCTCGAGTATTTAAAATGTAGCCTGTGTATTCTTTAGGTTTATCATTTGATATATAGATATATATAATAAGAAATGTTAAGGGATACTGTACGCCAGCAGTGTGCTCCTGGCAGTGTGGGTTCGAGGCACTTCTGGAGTGTGAGTTTTCAGTTGCATATAGTCCTGGGGACCATTCAGGCTTGTTCGCATAATATGATATAGATATATGGACTATGACGAAGTGCAGTGTGACACAGATGGTGTCAGATGTTGGCTCTTAGTCTCTGGCAATAGTAAGATATTGCTAAGCGCAAACTGGCTGTTGATAAGTCATTGGGAAGTTTTGATATACAACGCCTCGAATTATGTCTGATCTTCTATTGTCGTTGTATCTATCGATTACTTCGGCGTTGTTAGACAGCGTATCTCCAATGATGGTCTAGTTGTTTATATAAACGCCGTGATCTTTTATGAATACAGAGAAGGTTTGCACCGGATTTATTGATATAGTCCTGAAGGTCAAATTCAGTAACATGTGTCTTCAAGTCTGATATGAAGCGCCCGAATGATGTAACCAAGGCTGACCTACAACTCGAGCTCCTTCACTCATAAATATCTTGTTGTGAAATGGACAACCTTGAGTCCATTAGACTAGTGCACCGTCGCAACACCCTCGACACCTCTCTCTCCCGTGTTTAAGGCTCTCCCTGGCTGTGACAGGTCCTGTCAGTTGAGGATTGTGAGGCGTTTAGAGAGTTGGGGGCTCCGTCATAATCTTCTGGTCCAAGACGGGAGTTGGCGGGAGAGGAGGGGTAGAAGGAGGACATGATAGGAGGCCCAGAAGAGGCGAAGAAGGTAAAATAGGAACTGGAAAGAAGGATGAGGATGCTGGACATCCTACTACGAGCTTCTATACGTCATATTCCAGAAATTTCACTCGGAAAATATTCCATCTGATCGTTTTTCACTGAAGTTTTCCCATTCGTCTGCTCTTTAATTTGCAGGTATGTTGCCTTAGCTGCTTTTCGGGGATTATAAAGAGTATTTTCTCGAGCGGAAATATGACCTTCCTTAACCAGGTTGATATTGGTCGTATCTTTGATGATCTTGGAGGGTATTTAATATCTTGTAAATGAAAGGTTCTTCTTCAACCAGCTTTACAAGCATAGAGTTTCAGGTGCAGTGAGGTTCGAGATTGTTAAAGTTGATGGGTTATAAGAGGAACTAGACATACTCCCGAGGGCATTGTGACCTCAGTAAGCTTGCTGTCTCTGATTCACTAGAAACTAGGTTATGAGCGCAAGCTTCCATGCGTTGTGTTGTTACAATGTTGTTAGGGGGTTGTAGCGTTGTTTACGTTAGAGGTCTCCGTTAGTCCTTGGTGATCAGATGTCTGGGGGAATATTAGGAGTATACGCTATCATTTCTCTCTCTCACTCATTTTTATTTTCTCTCTCTCTTTCCCTCCATACATCACCTATTCCCTCTTCCCATTCTCCTCCTAATCCCCCATCCACTCTTCTCTCGCTATATCCCTCTCTTGTCTACGCAAAACAAGCAATTATGAATGGAGCTTTGAACAGACACGAAGCAAAAATTCTCTGCCATTCAAAAGGAAATCCTTTCACATTTTCTCATACCTGAAGCATGAATGGGGGTAAAACTGACATTGATGAGTAATGTGTCTGCTCCTGTCACCCATTCAACCCATCGCTCTTCCCCCTCTTCCCCTCATTTCGACGTTCCCATCATGTTGTGCCCCTTTATTCCCAAACCATCCTACCCTAATCACCCACGTTCTGGGTACGTTAGCAGAATGATGATGGATGGTTGTTGCATCGAGTGGTAATCTGTCAGGTCAACACTCGTCTGAGAATTCCTGGGATCATCCGAGCGACTTGAGGTACTGTTTGTTTTGGCCCGAAGCCCGCAGACACAACACACTACCGTCTTGTCCTTGACTGCTGGTGGTCTGCCAGCACCCTCCTTACTTCTCCCTGCCTGCCTGCGTCTCTGCTTGCCTGCCTGCCTGCCTGCCTGCCTTCCTGCCTGCCTGCCTGCCTGCCTGCGCCTCTGCCTCCCTGCCTGCCTGCGCCTCTGCTTACCTGCCTGCCTGCGCCTCTGCCTCCCTGCCTGCCTGCGCCTCTGCTTACCTGCCTGCCTGCCTGCCTCCCTGCCTGCCTGCCTGCCTGCGTCTCTGCCTCCCTCCCTGCCTGCCTGCCTGCCTGCCTGCCTGCCTGCCTGCCTGCCTGCCTGCCTGCGTCTCTGCTTGCGTCTCTCTCTATACTTGCTGCCTTCATCTCAGCCTGTGCCTCGTTATGTTTGCATCCTGTCCTGTGCATTTGCCAGCACCTGTTGCTTCTTGTTCGCATCTGTTAGCATTCTGCCCGTATCTTTGCCTGTTTCTTTACGTATATATATATCATCCAACATGATGTGCTGCAGCTCTGCCTACACCTGTGCTTGCCAATATGTTGCAGCCCCGTTTATACACGTTTCCTATAGCTGCTCCTATCAACTTCTTTCATATTATATAAAAGCCAATGTTTCTAAGGATATGTACAGAGTAAGAGAACCATCACCTTAGCTGCATGGCCGCCAGGTTGTCTGAAGGAATCTGATCCGCAGCTGCTGTTGCTGGGGGAGATGACTGGTGTTGTCACTAAAGGTCTTGTGTGTGTGAGGTTTGCTGACCTAACATGGCTGGTGAAGAACAAGGCTGAGGCTGTTATATTGACTTGGTTGAGCATCTACAGTAGGCAAGGAAGATGGCCCTACAAACACTTGTCAAGGGACTATCGTCGTCCTAGACGATCTTGGCTACTTTCATTATTGTGTCATTAACATGCTTACATAGTGGCCTCAGAATAATGATAAAAGTATAGAATGTTCTAATGTCCCAAGACACTTGTGTCATATAGTAAGAATAATAATAAGAAGAAATGCAATGGTAATTAACAAGAAAAAACATTGGAAATATATTGTTCTAAACCTAATCAATCCTCAAAACATCATGACTAATTTGGTAGACATTCAATCATGCACTTGGGTGATGAGATCCATCTACAAGAGAGGAGGTGAGCATTAGGGCTTCCTTAGTAGACTGGCAACATCTACATACGACACTCAATGAGTGTAAGAGTGATAAACTAGATGTGATGCTTTGATCAAGACGCTTGCCTATCTTATCTGCCAAGCACAAAGTAAACGGTTGACTGCTGTCAAGACACAGTACAATATATATCACTATAGTGTCACGGTAACGAAATACGGAGCATAGAGACGTGACAGGAGCACTAGGCCTGGGAGTTTACACAATGTGAAACAAATAATAGTTGCACATTGAAGAATTACGAAGAAAATTAACATTTCAAAGTAATATAACTTTGTTATATGTTAAGCATGTTTCATATCCTGTGATTTGCTCTAAAAGATGACCAGCATTACCGAAGGTTGTGGTCTGAAACATGACCCCTCGTGCTGTAGGCTAGGTAAGCATTGTAAAATTGAGTTTTGAATATATCAAATATTCTGTATTTTGCTGTATTCAAAACTGAAACAAGAACTCCAGTCATATTCCTTCGGCCATTGGACTAGTGTGTGTGCGCACACAAATCTAAGAGAGTAGCCCTCAAAGACAGACATACATACATACATGCATACATATATACATACATACATTTTTTCTAGGAAAAAATCTTCCGGACTCTAATTTTCCTTCACTCTTACATGTAACAATGGAATAAACTGATTCCTAAAAATGTAATGTAGGATGAAAGAGTAGGTAAAGTTCTCCTACAGTGATGTCGAGTGGTGTTTGAAGCTGTACCAGGACTTGTGGGGTACCTGTGTACCTCAATACCTGTCACCCGACCTGTGGGGTAGGGTGACAGGTACTCTGTCACCCTAACATATGACAGCTTGCTCCTACGGGAACTCTCAGGCGCAATATATTGACTGAAAATAGAAAAGGTGGTAAATATGTACAAGCGGGTGCATGTTACAAGATTGTATATTTAGTGTCTTATGTGTAATGAATACACTTATAGATTTGTTGTAAGGAGATTGTGTACGTCGACTGGAGGCTCTTGAAAGTCAAGTGTGTGTGTGTGTGTGTGTGTGTGTGTGTGTGTGTGTGTGTGTGTGTGTGTGTGTGTGTGTGTGTGTGTGTGTGTGTGTGTGTGTGTGTGTGATGTATCCTGTAACTGATGGAGCGGTGAACTGATAAAACACATCCATCATCCTTTATAAGCGGGAATACCACACCCAAGTGGTCGTCATCAAGCTGGTGTAGACTCAAGGTTGTAGATGGAAGTAGAGCACTAGACAGTATGTGTATTCACTCGGTCTCCCTGTAACTGGAGTAGGTGTCTTGACGACGGGGGCCGGCATAGGTGTAAGGACGACGGGGGCCGGCATAGGTGTAAGGACGACGGGGGCCGGCATAGGTGTAAGGACGACGGGGGCCGGCATAGGTGTAAGGACGACGGGGGCCGGCATAGGTGTAAGGACGACGGGGGCCGGCATAGGTGTAAGGACGACGGGGGCCGGCATAGGTGTAAGGACGACGGGGGCCGGCATAGGTGTAAGGACGACGGGGGCCGGCATAGGTGTAAGGGCGACGGGGGCCGGCATAGGTGTCGTGACGACGGGGGCCGGCATAAGTGTCGTGACGACGGAGCCCTGCTCAGTCATATCATTTACAAGTTCCTGGGGTCGTCGGCGGCATCATCAATCCCTGCCTCCGAGATGCTCTTTTAGCATCTCAAGATGCTAAAATTAGAAGCGCAGTGCGATTGTATGTCTCGACAAAGTTTGTTGACACGACCATTTGCGTCTTTCACCGGCTCATTATGAATTGATCTCAGGGTTGATTTCTAGGCAGGGAAGACGTTTGAGCACGTTTTCTGACGCTCGATGTCATTGTTGCCCTCACAATAGTTATTATGGAGTAAATTGGCTGTTGTGGATCACATCACGAGGGACTGCAAGCCGGCGGTTTACATGATCTCAATTAGCCAAAGAGGCTTCCTGTCGCCATCAATGTGTATATGCCTCACTCCAGAAAACCTATTACATTGATGACACTGTAATATACAATGGTTGACTTGTTCGGTATCTGGTGTAAGGAAGGATGTATACAAGTGTTTACATGGATGTAGACATGTATACTAGTAGTACATGTATACTACATGTGTCAGTGTCTGTCATGGCATGATCTAGTGCGTGTACGCCAGGTATCTTGCCAGTATCATCTCTTACAGTCCAGTGACACAGGACTTCGGCCTCCTGTGTCACTGGATTGGAATCCTCAGACTAATCTGGACTCCTTAAATGTCTGCTCTCTCTCTCTCTGTTATGCTATGACCTCCTCTGTCAACACACTAAACTCGGTGTGTGTGTAGCAATAAAGTACAGGAGGAGATCAATCAGTTTTCCAATGTGTTGTTTATGAGCGATACCTGATACCAATAAAATTAAACTACCAGGTGCTATCAGCTTATCTAACTAGTGAATAATAATGATATGGGACATCAACATTTGGACCAAAATTGTCATAAAAATGTGGCTAATTGTAAAACAAAGCAAACTAGACTTGAGGTTGCTAGTTTTCTTTACCCTGCCTGTTTAAAACATGTCTCTCACACGTTTTAAACTTCTACACCCCCCCCCCTCTCTCCCCGCCCCCTTCACCCCTGACATAATTACTGACTGGTTTGCTGTTGGGCTTAAGGTCTATTAACCATCACAGTTTTCCCAATTTGAACTGTGCGGAGATCACTCAAGTGCATAGTTCTTCTATACGAGTTTCGTAAGAGTTTTGTTTCTTTTGGTTACTCAGTAGAAATACTGTCTACTAAGTAGATAGTATTTCAACAACTGTCTACCTTGGAACACTGTGTTGCGAGTAGCACGTGTTCTCGCTTCTGCTTTCATCAGCCATGATTCATACGGGAGATAACATCTCTGAAGTCTCTAACAGGAGATAACATCTTTGGAGCCACTAACAGACGATAACATCTCTGGAGTCTCTAACAGGAGATAACATCTTTGGAGCCACTAACAGACGATAACATCTCTGGAGTCTCTAACAGGAGATAACATCTCTGTAGCCTCTATCACTGCATCTCAACATTGTCTACCTGTATCACTGCAACGTATCTCTGCCTTCCTGTATCATTGCAATGTTTTTCTTCTGTCTTGATGTACTTCTGAAATCCACCTTTACTTGTCTTGTATCACTGTAATTTACAATTGGCTGGCTATATCACTGTGACTGATCCGTGCCAACCTATATAATACAATATTAGTAGATATGACAGACAGACACCTCTGATTCGCTTTTATTAACGCAAAGCATCAGTACCTTCATCTCTTATATATCGGCATTCATTACTTTTAAGATTAAAACGCAATTTATTTTATACAATGAACGACTAATAATAATCAATGCTACTTCACATTAATACTCTTAATCATGAACGTTAATGGGGGTATTCGATTAAAATTATTTACTGGCAAATAGTAAACTTTTTTCAAAGCAGCTCTGAGTAACAAATAATATTTTTATTGTGACAGAGAGCTAATATATGAATCAAATTACTGGCAATAACTAACAAATTCCACGATGGTCAAGAGTTGATTGTGAGGATTTATTTAAGACGTTAGAGAATGTGTTCAGATGATTGTGGTTGAGAAAAATTTAATGATTAGAGAATCTAAAGATGTTTGTTGTCACTGAAAGGTGTTGAAACTCCCAAACTATCTAGTGATTTTGCAGTAAACTATAGTTCCAATAAATTAAAAGCAGAGCAGATAATATTTACCAATCAGAGCGTAAGGTTTTTATTTGCATTATCCACTCTTGGAGCGCAAATTACGACTCGAGTAACAGATCCTTGAAGAGAACATGAATAACTCATTGTAATGGTTGCTATAACTTGTAAGCCTTAAGCCTCTAACAATTGCATTAATATATCCCCAAACAACTGGAAGAGTCCGCCCTGGCAGCAGGAAATGCATCCAGTTATCAGGGAAAAAGGGAGAAATGACCAAGATGTTAAAAATATCTTTACAATTCTCACAGACCAGATGACAAGATGAGGTCACTCATAAATAACACCGCTACCTGGAACTTTGAAAAATAGACTAAATGACTAGAGAGGAGACCAATTAACTCACACAGAGTGTTTGGGAACTTTGATCTTTTAATACTTACTGGGTGAATGGAATTCCTTTTATATTAACTTCATGAATACAAGGGGAATATATCTACCTATAAAAATGCTCAATAGATCAAAGGTAATGTCCAAAACAATTCAGAATTAATTAAGGGAAAATATATAAAATACACAAGAGAATAATTTACAATAACTTTATATAATAATGATAAAATTAATCCCTAAGCTAGTGATATCCTAACCTTTGAGGCATGGTAATCAATTTCTTTCATTATTATGCGCCCTATACCCATCCCGTGGGCTGTGGTGTAAAGGATTACAGAGGCACATAATCGGTTCAGGAATTGAACCCTTCTAGTTCGTTTAGCTAAGCAAATAACAATCTTTTGATGATACAAACCATGGTAAGGGACTAAAAATTGTACAATACAAACAAATTGTACAAATTGTACTGGACAAACAAGTACAATCACCAACTTTGGAGACAATCTTAATCCTCCCAGATCACCATCCCACCCTCAGCATGGCCCATCAATCCACCCTCAGCATAGCCCACCAACCCACCCTCATCATAGCCCACCAACCCACCCTCATCATAGCCCACCAACCCCCCCCCCCCTCAGCATGTCCCACTACCCACCCTCAATAGCCCACCAACCCACCTCAGCATAGCCCACCCACCCTCATCATAGCCCACCAACCCCCCTCATCATAGCCCACCAACCCCCCTCATCATAGCACTAGCCCACCAACCCCCCCCCCTCAGCATGGCCTACCACCCACCTCACATAGCCCACCAACCCCCCCCCCCATCATCATAGCCCACCAACCCACCCAGCATGGCCCACCACACACCACACACACACACACACACACACACACACACACACACACACACACACACACACACACACACACACACACACACACCACACACACACACACACACACACACACACACACACACACACCAGTTCTCGCCTCACCTTCAATTCTCTCTCCCCAAAACAGACTTACAAAGCTCTTCTTTCTCTTCTCTGTGCACACCTCGTATTGGGTGTGGCTTTAAATACAAAGAGTCCTCCCCTATCCCGTTTTTTGCCAATGGAAGCCTTAAACTGCAGCAGTGTCGACTCTCTCTTTAAACGTTCCGAACTCTGGTTGTACAGGGACAAGACAAGAATTCCTTGTATAGTCTATATATAATCTTTTTTCTGTAAATAGGAATTGTCGATTTTATTTCTGTTGAAGCGTGTACTTTCAGTGTTTTATTGGCTTTAAGCGTTTGTGTGTTTTAAGCGGATTGTATATATTTTAGGTTTTAGTGTATAGCAACGTCTTGTGTTGGTGTCTGTGGCTTCGTGGGTAGGCTGTGTCACTGTGTCTGTTTGTCTGTGTCTCCACTTGCTTCTGTGCTCACCTGTCTACCTGCCTGGATGTTACTCATTGTCCCCTGACTATTGTTTCTTGATTGTTTCAACAATCTTGTTTATATTTAGAGCGGAAGCTGACAAAAAGCCCACTCTACACACATACACACACACACACACACACACACACACACACACACACACACACACACACACACACACACACACACACACACACACACACACACACACACACACACACACACACTAATCCGTCTCCAAACACGAACGACCATCTGTATGCACACTGAACCAACACTAACTCTTCTGTACACTCACTGCACGCTGTGTACAGAACACGAACCAACTGTACTCATATTGAAGCAGCCTGTACACACACACACACTTCAATGTTCATTTTTTTCATTTTCTTTGCCTGATAACCATTCCTTTCAGTTGGTTTACATTCTCCCTGCAACATGGTCTCTGTTCCCTCACTGAAGCTCCTCTCTGCATCTACATTTTTTCTCTTCTGCCTCTTCGAATTTATTTGTGATTTTCCTTCAATAATGTTGAAGTTTGTGTGTTATTATATAGGGTCCAGTCACCCTGATTTTCCGTAAAAATGTCCTTTTTCTTCCTTTTTCATTTCTTCTATCTTCTCGTCTGTAAACAGAGCATCATTTCTTAATTCCTAATTCCTTCTTTCCCTATATTATATTCTTATGCTATTTTCTTCTATTCTGGTGGATCCTAATTCTTTGGAGATGTATGGAGTAGAGGCTCGACTGGGCACTGGCTTGTGCCGATGTGGTCGTTCTGTGTGTGTGTGTGTGTGTGTGTGTGTGTGTGTGTGTGTGTGTGTGTGTGTGTGTGTGTGTGTGTGTGTGTGTGTGTGTGTGTGTGTGTGTGTGTGTGTGTATTTAATATTTGTATTTACTATCTGTATCTGCAGAATCGAGCTATTAGTTCTTAGACCCCGCCTTTCTGACCTATTTATTTTTCCACTATTATGGCTACTACATATATTTCTCTTACACACGCGAACGCGCGCGCACACATACACACACACACACACACACGGTGTACTCATCTACTTGTGCTTGCGGGGGTTGAGCTTTGGCTCTTTGGTTCTGCCTCTCAA